TCATACGAAACCACTCACTGGGTCCTGCATTTGACAGCTATGATATTTTTAATGTACAAAAAACTTATTTTTCCATCCATTATACAGCTGTATAATGGATGGAAAAATAAGTTTTTTGTACATTAAAAATATCATAGCTGTCAAATGCAGGACCCAGTGAGTGGTTTCGTTTTCGGCTTTGGTTACTCCATAGCTTTTTCATCTTGATTTAGCCGTATATCTGGATGAACGTTAGTAATCTGTTTAGTCGTCAATTGATAACTGGTTTACTGCACGGCGTACGTAAACGAGTTATATGAAACTAACTTATAATTGTAACGAATTGTCAGTTAAGTCGTCTAAATAATGATGTTAAGTGGGCTCACCGTTGAGGCTCCTGCATGGCGGTGACCTCAGTTTTTTTCCTTTTCATGCGGTCGTATGCCTTTTTGATAGCATCTTTAAAAGCATCGTCCAGCTGCTGTTTGTCCAATTTATAGACGCTGCTCCACATTCTGAAAACCTGCGTGTTGTGCATCGTAAATAAAGAAAGAAGCACGGCTTACGAACTATAATAGCATTAAGGTCAGGGCCGAAGGAGGCTCTCTTGTCCCGATGACGACCGTAAAATGTTAGTTGATGCGTTGTTTGGTCGCCGAAGTAGGTGCTCACTAGCCTGTCAGCAAACTTGTTGACAGCGTTCCTGCCAATGGTGGCCATGTGGGCAATTTGGTAAAAGATGTTACGTTTGAACTATAACTTACTAGGTGCTGTCGTACGTTTGGGTGTGGTACATCAGACAGCAGACTATCCAATTCCTCTTACGTAGGTACCCGACGTAAAACCGACAGGGACCGGTCTCGTATTTGGAGTAGGCACTGCGTCATCCATTTGCGGCATTTTTTTTCGTGGCATTGCATACGCTGATGGCCACTTCGCCTTTTTCGTAGATTGTTCTTATTGCCTAGAAAGCGAGCCTAGTATAATGAGCTGTAAATCCGGTGACATGTCTATCGGCATTGTCACACTGGAGTCACTATGCTCGGCGGAGAAGCTAACACACAACGCACATGAACAAGAGTCCGACGAAGGCATTTCTACCACATTCTACCCGATTTGGCGTAGGCCATCAAGAAAACCTTGCCTAGAAAGTCTCTACAGTCCTCTTAGATACTGGCTTCCACATACTAGAAAATCGAAAAAAATCAGCAAGTATAACGGAAATAGAATAAGAACAGCGGCAAGCAGTTACGCATGTGCACAGCGGCTTGCGTGAGCAGGAAATGACGTGCAGCAGTGCACGCGAGGCGTCCGATCCATTTTTCAATAATTTTGTCCACAGTCGTTTGCGCCCTAAGTGACTAGCTACCACGCGATGCTGGCAACCGGTCAAATCCATTCCCGACTTGCGTTCGTTATTTCCGAGCCTCGAC